AGTTCTGAGTTAAAAACAGCAGGTACCCCACATCAACAATTTACCCTGAGGTCCTATCAGCAGATTGCTATATTGTATATAATATTGCAGTACACAAGCAAGAAACAAACATCACTCTTGAGCAACAAAAGTATATGGTCACTGCAGATTTGATGCAGGCAGCTTTTGCTGATGCAATTTAATAGGAGGCGACACACAGCTAAGTAATGGATTCACCAGGTCTTAATGGAGCCAGTCAGCTAAATGCAGTCCTTGTCCACTTCTTGCGGAGTGTATTAGGATTGTGCACCCTCAGCCACTAAGCAGATTCAAACCTGTCTTGAAAGTCAGGATGTCATTGGTGGTGGGGAAATATAGCTAGATACACTTATACATCATATGCCCCCTCTTTAGGGTTGGCATGCATAGATCCTTTACTGCTTTAAAGGATAAGTGAGGGAATGTTAAAAAAACATACATACTTCTCTACCTGCTGCAGCTTCGCTCTGATGCTGCAGCTGTCCTCCGTCAGCTCTAAGCCCATTTGGGTAGATCCCAACATTATTGTCAGGATCCCACCAGAGTCTGGAGTGGCTCTGTGATGTCAGTAGCTTTAGCCTGTTCTTGGCCGATTCTGGGTCACAGGAATGCACAAAAGCTTTGGCCATACTTCACTTTTAAACAGTGCAGTAGCAAAAGCTGACACTCCGCTAAATTATCATATATACTCACTGCAAAAAAAGCTGCAGTAATCAGAAATAAATATACCTGTTAACTGTGATTTTCATATTGGCTCTGTCTCTTCTTTGACTTCAACTCTTTCAACCACTGAGGAGATTCTCCTGTAGCTCTGAAACAGAGAAGAAACAAATGAAAATACTCTTTAGAAAAACTGTTAAAAGAAAATGGTAAACCTGGAGAATATACAGCCTTCATTTTTCTTGTGAACAAACCACTGTATATAAACAGGCTATCAGTTTCCCTATTGTTCTTGCTTAGTCACATTCATCAAATGTAGTCTTGCCATTTCAGATGTGCAGACAAGTGTAATTGTATTCTAGCACTGTATTTAAGGAGATGTATTTAAGGATACGCAGAAACAAAGTGTTTTGTACATCTTATTTATACCTCTGTGTTGGCAGGAGCTCTGCACTTGCTCAGAAAGCAATTTTCCTATAGAAGGGTCACTGTTAATGCAATCATGTCACTATACTAAATTTTAAAAATCAAATAACACCTGTTAAAGAGTAAAAGTTCCCACCTTTCCTACAGCAGACCCCACTGAACACCACTTTGACCCTGAAAAATCTTAATGTGAAGTCCACAGGGAACCAAACACTTCCACAAGTGTATTTCTTGTAACACCAGCAGCTCTTACTGGTCCCTTCTGCTGACTTGCATTCATTACAGGATACTGCAGTTCACAAAAAGGTAAAATTGTGCAGGGTTGGTAACACTTAATACAATTTCTGTGCAACAGAGGCAGAGACCACAGGAACTTAAAGTGGAGCTCCACCCAAAAGACTGGTCCCCTCATTCCCCATTAAGGATTGGCAACTTTGGGGAGTGGGTACCCAAAATTGACAGGTACCCGCTCTCACTTCCGCTGCGATCGCCTAGGTCAGGGGTAGGCAACCTGCGGCTCTCCAGCTGTTGCAGGACTACAAGTTCCATCATGGCTCTGCAAGTCATAGCTGTAACTGTCAGTTTTGTAATGTTGCAATGCCTCATGGGAAATGTAGTTCCACAACAGCTAGAGAGCCGCAGGTTGCCTACCCCTGGCCTAGGTGATCGGAAGCTGAAGTTGTCCTCCTACCCTTCCTCCCCGTAGTCTTCTGGGACATGTGACAGGACCCAGAAGACTACAGGGCCATTCAGGAAGCGCAGCGCTACTCGCGCATGCGCAGTGGGCACCCGGCTGTGAAGCCGCAAGCTGTCACAGCCCGGTGTCCACACTGAAGATGCCGGCACCTGGAACACCAGACGGCTGGTGAAACGGGCTGTGGGCAGGACACCGTGGGATCGAGGGATAGGTGAGTGGCTGTTTTTTAAATAAAAGTCAGCAGCTACAGTTTTTACTGAAACCAGTGTGACTGAACTCTGCTTTAAGCCTGGTACACACTGGGCTGAATGAAAAAAAAAAAAAAACAAAAACTGACAGCTCAGGAGGAGCCGCTGTACTAACTATGCAATGTTAGTACAGAGATCTCCCCTGCTGTGCTATTGTGTTCTGACAGGGGGGACAGCACCCCCACCAGAACACTGCAGTTAGCACTCAGCTATAGACCAAGAGCGCTGATCAGCAGACTTTTTTTCAGTCATGCCCCTTCTGTCGGGCTGGCTGCTGTGCACATGGGTCAAATGTCGATGCCGTCTGACATTTGGCCCGTGTGTACTAGGCTCTATGAACTCACTGGATTTGGGGCAGACATTTTTATTGCACTTAAGATGTAACAAAATGCCTTAAAAACTGTACATTTCCCAAGGATGCAAAAAAGAGACGTTAAAGCAGAGCTAAAGTAGTTAAATACCGTTCCAACTGACCCACGCTAGCATCTTCTCCTTTGTGCTGGTCTTTGGCCACCTTCATTGGCCAGTGCAGGATAAGGTCATTCCTGCGCATGCAGAGGAGACCATCAGTTTGGCACACAAAGACCAGCCTTACAGTGCCGGAGAAGACCGTGAACTTTGTTATAGCGGAACTTCAGATCCACTTTAAACGATTAGGGTTTGCACACACACTTTAAAAAAAAATTGGCATGGGAAAGGGATGGTGGGGTGGTTAGGTTTAAAAAGTGGATTAGTGCTTTACTTGTAACTGGTATTTAATCTCTATACTACAATGTCAGTACAATTAGAGGTGATCAGTATAATGATCAAGCTATGACTGCACCAAAGCATAATATTTTCAGTCAACTAACTTGTCTTGCTTGTCTGCAGAAGGTTGGCAGAAGTTTGACGCCCAGTGTTCCATGTGGTAGAGGTGATTTTGGCGACTTAGTAACTTGGGGTGAGGATTCAGTACTGCTTTCAGCATCTTGCCTTTTCCGAAGTTGTGCCTATGGGAAAAAAAGCAATTAATATACAAAGCACACATACACACATAAGGGAAAACAGATTTAACCACTTCAAGTCCAGACACTTTCACCCCCTTCCTGTCCAGGCCAATTTTCAGCTTTCAGCGCTATCACACTTTGAATGACAATTGCGCGATCATGCAACACTGTACCTGTATGAATTTTTTTTGCATTTTTTTTTTTTGAGACAGATAAAACTTTATTTTGGTGGTATTTATTCACCATTGGGATTTTTTTTTTCAATATGTTTGGACTTTTTCATTTATATAGCAAAAAAATAAAAAAGTGTTTTTCTTATAAAATTTTGCAAATAATCTTTCTTTATAAATCTTGGCCAAAATGCATTCATCTATCTTTTTAGTAAAAAAAAAAAAAAAAAAATTAGTTTATAACCAAAAATTATAATTTTTCACAAATTTTTACATTTTTATTTTATTTATGGTTTTTTTTTTTTTTTTAAACATACCGTCACCCTAGCAGTACAGTGTCACCATAGTGACACTGTACTACTTGTGGGGGGGTGATGATTTTTTTTTCTTTTTTTTTTACACCCATAAAGGCTGTAAAAGCAATCATTTCTCCTTCTCTGACTGCATTCTTGCAGCCATTGAGAAATACTGTGAGCTGTGATTGGTAATAGATTGTCACATGGTAAAAGGCTGTTGTGAATAGCCTTGTACCACGTGACCTCTGTGATCATTCACAGATTTCACTAGTAGTAAGCAATGTCAGGAAGTGACATCTTGTTTACTACTATGCATGTGACCACTGATTGGCCAATCAGTGATCACATGAATTGGGACATCACACAGAGGTCCCGTACAGCGATCGGTGTTCCCAGGGAGCGTGCACAGGCACTTAATGCGGGGGCCGTTTTAAACGGCAACCCGCTTTGGCACTGATCCCATCCGGCCATTTAAGTACATGGACCGGACGGGAAGTGGTTACGTTCATAGCATGCTCATTGCTAGATTTATTTTTCCAGTTGTAGTACACCAGCCATATTTGAAATACAATGTAGACGTTTATCTTTTCCCAGCATTTGACGCTACCGGTCTCTTGCTAGGTCAACATCACTATTGGTGCACATTTTGTCACAGCCCTAAGTTAGGCAATCTAATTTGTTAATAGCCATCTATAGTCTTTTTTTTGGCTTTTGGGTTCTTTGGGGTTTTTTTTTACAATTAAAAGTGTTTCTTGGCTAAAAATGCGAACACATCACAAACCACACACCATGATAGTAAATGAACACAGGGAACTGCTATTCAGCAGCCGTTTGTCATTATATCTGCATAGATGTAAACACAAAGCAATATTATAATTTTAATGTGTTGCCTACAAAACCAACGTTTACCTACAGCTAACAATGTAGGATGGAGAAGTTGTATGGTTTACAACCTTTTTAAATGTTAGCTCGTTTCTGACTCCTAAATGTAGTAAAGGCAGGACATGTTTTACCTTAATGCATTCCCTGCATTAAGGTAGAAAATGTCTCAGCAGTTGTCTCACTCCCTCAGCCTCCTTATACTTACCAGAGTCCTGTTTCGATCCAGTGGTGTGCCCATCTGCAGCAGTGCTTTCCCCTCTCTCTCTTCTCACAGGACACAAAGGCACATTGGGAGCCATTGGCTGCTGCTGTCAATCAAATCCTGTGAGGAGGGAGCAGCGAGAGGGGTCATGCAGGGGGAGGGGCCATTGTATGTATCTATGGGTGCACTGAGCCCAGCTTGGGAGTGAGTTTGCCAGTGCGCCACCATAGAAAGTGGCTTCCTATGAAGGAACACAGAGAAAAGGAGGATTTATAATAAAAGATTTAATTAAAAAATAAAATGTATTGCCTATTCCAATCCATGTGCTCCTGCTCACTTCTTATTAATGACATATTTTGTAGTTTCATTTATAATAGGGATTTCCAAGGTTATGTACACTAACCAGTCAACGGAATTAATTGTTTACCATCAAAGTTGAATGGTCCATTCCAGGGAACATTGGCATTCGTGGTGAATGAACAGAGGACCTCTTGGGTTTTTCTTCCTCTTCTTCAACCTCTTCCTTTTTTTCTGACTTCTCTTCTAAAATATAGGAGAAAAATGTATACCATACCATACAATAATTCCAATCGGAATCAGATTAAGGCAGCTTCACACTGAGCTTTAGCTGCAGTGCAGTGTACCCACAGTTTTGGTGCAGGTTGGCTGTGCTTTGCCATAGATGTCTATTAGGTTCAGCAGCTTTGGTGCATTTTGTGATAGCACACCAAAAGTCGTGCATGCTGGATTTTGGGGCGCTTTCAGAAAATGTACCTAAACCGTGGGATGAAATAGAAGGCTATCGCAAAACGCAGCTAACCCACACCAAAAACTGCGGGTACACTGCACATCTGTGTTGTGAGCAAATTACAATGGGGCAGTGTGAAGTCACCCTTATAGTCTGCAGCAATGTTCCACTCAAAACTCCAACAAAGAATGGCCAGTAATTTTGTATTCATATCATTTTAAACTGTCACAAAAGCATATTGTTTACTAACAAAATCTGAAATATTCTTCACTGACCAATTCTCAATTGTAATCAAAAGGTTGTTCATTATTGAGAAACCCTTCTGTACCAACTTGTATAACATAAGTGCTATTTACTATAGAAATAGTGCTTTATAAGCATTGTTCTTCTAGGACACACAGTTCAAAAACAGATTTATACATAAAGTGTGTGCACAACATTTCGTAAAGTGCCTTTACAAGAAGAACTTCTTATATACACACTATAAGCCTTCCTCAACCAGGATTCCTCCAGAGGATGCTAGAAGTTCTGTGAGCAATGAACAATTTTACAGATAGGCTACCATTGACACCAATGATCCTTTCAGGCATCTGTAAGGGTATGATTCTTCCCACTGACCACCAGTGCAAGGGAGCATTCTTCCCACTGACCACCGGTGCAAGGGAGCATTCTTCCCACTGACCACCGGTGCAAGGGAGCATTCTTCCCACTGACCACCGGTGCAAGGGAGCATTCTTTCCCACTGACCACCGGTGCAAGGGAGCATTCTTCCCACTGACCACCAGTGCAAGGGAGCATTCTTCCCACTGACCACCGGTGCAAGGGAGCATTCTTCCCACTGACCACCAGTGCAAGGGAGCATTCTTCCCACTGACCACCGTGCAAGGGAGCATTCTTCCCACTGACCACCGGTGCAAAGGGAGCATTCTTCCCACTGACCACCGTGCAAGGGAGCATTCTTCCCACTGACCACCGGTGCAAGGGAGCATTCTTCCCACTGACCACCGGAGCAAGGGAGCATTCTTCCCACTGACCACCGGTGCAAGGGAGCATTCTTTCCACTGACCACCGGAGCAAGGGAGCATTCTTTCCACTGACCACCAGTGCAAGGAGCATTCTTCCCACTGACCACCAGTGCAAGGAGCATTCTTCCCACTGACCACCAGTGCAAGGGAGCATTCTTCCCACTGACCACCAGTGCAAGGGAGCATTCTTCCCACTGACCACCAGTGCAAGGGAGCATTCTTACCACTGACCACCGGTGCAAGGGAGCATTCTTCCCACTGACCACCGGTGCAAGGGAGCATTCTTCCCACTGACCACCGGAGCAAGGGAGCATTCTTCCCACTGACCACCAGTGCAAGGGAGCATTCTTCCCACTGACCACCAGTGCAAGGGAGCATTCTTCCACTGACCACCGGTGCAAGGGAGCATTCTTCCCACTGACCACCGGTGCAAGGGAGCATTCTTCCCACTGACCACCGGTGCAAGGGAGCATTCTTCCCACTGACCACCGGTGCAAGGGAGCATTCTTCCCACTGACCACCGGTGCAAGGGAGCATTCTTCCCACTGACCACCGGAGCAAGGGAGCATTCTTCCCACTGACCACCGGAGCAAGGGAGCATTCTTCCCACTGACCACCGGAGCAAGGGAGCATTCTTTCCACTGACCACCGGAGCAAGGGAGCATTCTTCCCACTGACCACCAGTGCAAGGAAGCATTCTTCCCACTGACCACCAGTGCAAGGGAGCATTCTTCCCACTGACCACCGGTGCAAGGGAGCATTCTTCCCACTGACCACCGGTGCAAGGGAGCATTCTTCCCACTGACCACCGGTGCAAGGGAGCATTCTTCCCACTGACCACCGGAGCATTCTTCCCACTGACCACCGGAGCATTCTTCCCACTGACCACCGGAGCAAGGGAGCATTCTTCCCACTGACCACCGGAGCAAGGGAGCATTCTTCCCACTGACCACCGAGCAAGGGAGCATTCTTTCCACTGACCACCGGAGCAAGGGAGCATTCTTTCCACTGACCACCGGAGCAAGGGAGCATTCTTTCCACTGACCACCGGAGCAAGGGAGCATTCTTTCCACTGACCACCAGTGCAAGGAAGCATTCTTCCCACTGACCACCAGTGCAAGGGAGCATTCTTCCCACTGACCACCAGTGCAAGGGAGCATTCTTCCCACTGACCACCAGTGCAAGGGAGCATTCTTCCCACTGACCACCAGTGCAAGGGAGCATTCTTCCCACTGACCACCAGTGCAAGGGAGCATTCTTCCCACTGACCACCAGTGCAAGGGAGCATTCTTCCCACTGACCACCAGTGCAAGGGAGCATTCTTCCCACTGACCACCAGTGCAAGGGAGCATTCTTTCCACTGACCACCAGTGCAAGGGAGCATTCTTTCCACTGACCACCAGTGTAAGGGAGCATTCTTTCCACTGACCACCAGTGTAAGGGAGCATTCTTTCCACTGACCACCAGTGCAAGGGAGCATTCTTTCCACTGACCACCAGTGCAAGGGAGCATTCTTTCCACTGACCACCAGTGCAAGGGAGCATTCTTTCCACTGACCACCAGTGCAAGGGAGCATTCTTTCCACTGACCACCAGTGTAAGGGAGCATTCTTTCCACTGACCACCAGTGCAAGGGAGCATTCTTTCCACTGACCACCAGTGCAAGGGAGCATTTTTCCCACTGACCACCAGTACAAGGGAGCATTCTTCCCACTGACCACCAGTGTAAGGGGGCATTCTTTCCACTGACCACCAGTACAAGGGAGCATTCTTTCCACTGACCACCAGTGCAAGGGAGCATTCTTTCCACTGACCACCAGTGCAAGGGAGCATTCTTTCCACTGACCAACAGTGTAAGTAAGCCTCACCATTTTTACTGTGTTTATTTTTTGCTTCATTTCATTAGTATTACTGAGCAGCCAGAAAATGCCACATTCCTCTTTTCTAGTGTCTGAGTTGTAGTTACAAAATAGAGCTAGACAGGGCTGTGCGTGTGTTTTTTTTTTTTTGGGGGGGGGGGGGGGGGGGTGTAAAGTGTGTGTTTATATACTTTCTCAATTGCCCTTTAACTTCGCTATAAGCACAGTGCTTACAGAGTACTAAACCATTTTATTAAATAGCACTTTTTATACAAATTCAATACCTGTAGAATCACTGTACATCCAAAGGTTGTCGGTGTCCTCAATCACAGCTAGTTGGCTACTGGATTGCAACAACCGACTTCTGCGCTGTAATTGGCTTGGTGCACGGCGCTGGCTCTTCCGACTTAACTGGACTCTATTCTTCAGGGCTGTTGAGTCCAAGACTGAGGTTTGCTGTGGAAGAAAGAACAGATTAATTTCCTATTTAGCTACAATGAATTAAAACACAAGAATTTGTGTTGTGTCCATAATGCCACTGCATCCTCAGATAAACATGAGCCGCCTGCATGCAGTTCCAGCCACACATACAAGGAGCTCATTCGTGCAGTATGGGCCACAGTGACCATGAGCCCTAAGTTTAAAAAACTGAGAAAGAACATCTGTGTCTGAAAAGACACATCTTAAAAGTCAGGGCAGATTGACTATTGTTAAGGAATGGCTATGGCACTATGGATATAAAAGTTTTCTGTTCCCCATGCACCAAGTCATCTTCAATGTACAGTATGTTGCACAGAACTCACAAGGAAATCAACCAGAAATAAAACATGATTTTTGTATTCCATTCCATGGCCATCCTGAATGTTGCGCTGAGGCACATTATGAACTATGTTCCCATAGCCTACATTCCAATGAAGAAATATTCTTTTATCTGCAGAATTTGCATACTGCCAATGAAGTTAGAGTGTTCAGTTCAGAGACCCTACTAATATGTTGTTGCAAGAGAGTAGCCCCAAGGATGGACACATTAGGTCATCTTTGGAAAACCATTTGCCTCCAATGCAAATTGTGTTGCACAAGTGTAGGAACCATATGGATGCTCTGCTAAAATAGTCAGTCCGCAGAGGTAAAAGCAGTAATGGCGAAATGTAAAGCCTATCAGGACAAATACATATATATATATATATATATATATATATATATATATATATATCTATATATATATTAATTAGAATGTAAGCTAAAAGGAGCAGGGCCCTAACCCTCTTGTATTGAACAGTATTGTTGCTGTATTGTCTGCCTTTATATTGTAAAGCACTGAGCAAACTGTTGGCATGCATGGGATTTTTTGGATGTTATATTTGCATTATATAGATGTTAGACAAAGACATAATTTGCATTATATAGAAGTTACCAATATTGAAGATAATTAGGGTTTCAAGCTTACATCAATGAATGAGAAGTCAGCTGATTTGACTTCAGAAGGTGTGCTTTCAGTGCCTTCTGTGGAATCCAAATCCATGCTACAACGGTCCAAACTGCCATCCCGGGCTTCAGTGATAGAGTCATGCTGGTCTGTTTCAGTATGGGACAGTGAGGACAGGCGACTGTGTGAATGCTGCTTACGGCTGCTGTTATCATATGATGGCGAGTCAGTAACACAGCTGCAAGGAAAAAAAAAAAGCACTCTTCAATCAACATACTTAATACGAAAAAAATCAATTAACAAAGAGTCTAATCTGTATTGTAAAAAAATTTACATTTGGCATATTTAACTGGTCAATGATCTGTCATTTAAAATGTCTAACTTCTAAAGATTGGCGTAACCACTTTTTATAGATGGTGCCCTACTACATACAGATGAATAGACATCAATAGAAAAAAAACTAATCTGGTACACAAAAAAAAAATTACCATAAGTTGAACAGTAGAGGGCATCCAAGTCTTTAAAACAAAGCTATAATCGTGGGTTGCTAGTTAAATAGCACAGACCCAGCCAGCAGAATGAATCAGACTTACTTTATTTTATTTACTTTTTTTAAATGAAAAGGGATTACCTAGGCTGACACCACTATCTCTTCTGAAAATTCTAGTTCCCTGGCTGTCATGATGATTTAATGTCCTTAAAGTGTTAATAAACCCACAACCGTAAAATCAGTCAGTCTATGCAATAAATCATGCTTGTTATACTCACTGTGGAACCTAGGGGGTTAATCCTTCACATTGAGTAAAAAGGCTATTTGATCCTGACTTCTCTGATTATCCCCTTCATCTACTGTTCCCAATCCATCCACTGAGTACAGAGCTCTAGGAGTCGCTCTGCACATTCTCAGTTTAGTGTATTGTTAGGTATTTTTTTTTTTTCTTTGGGAGGGTGCATGTGACCAGCACAGAGCCAATCAGCAAAGTCCACACAGAGCATCAGGGGTTATGCAGCCTCATAGGACAGTCAGAGCAGAATGGAAACTCCTCCTACAAGCTTTAATCAGTGCTCTGCTGGACACTGATAGAAGTCAAAAGACTGCTACATACTGCTAATGAAAAAAAGTATGTTGCAGTTTACATTTACTAAAATAATTGCATTTCCATGTTCTCGTTGTCTGGGAGGCCAGATATAGTGAAAGCAGAGTCATGGATTTAGTAACACTTTAAAGCTTTCTGAGGCGTTTGAATGGGAATACACATGCAGAGTTCTGCCCATACTCTAACTTTCTTTGTTTCATGCTTGTTTAGACTTAGCGACTCAAGCTAATGAAATCAGACAGCCGGACGGCTAGCATTTTCAGTTCAACCATGGCAGCCTTGATATTTCTCCCAGTATAGGTTTGCATTAAAGAAGCATATAAAATATAAAGATGTAATACAAAATACCCTGTGAGACATTCTTACAATGTACTGGGTGCAATCATTCCCAGCATCTAACAGACATTAGTATGTTGCATGCATATTATGAGTACACAATGGTTTACAGCCTTATGAATAACATGTTCCACAATGTTGACATGAAATATTACTATATTGATTGGCCAGGTTGGATTTTTCCAGCTGGTAATTCTGCCACAAGAGATAATTTAATTCAGAGATGTCACTCTGCATAGTCACGAAAACTCAAATAATACAGATAGCACATTTATATGTACTTATAATGTACCTATAAGAAGATATTTTGGCAGTCAGTCAGACTATGCAATATACAGTATGTCTATAACCAGCACTATATTTTCTGCAAATATATATTATTGATGATAAAATGCCTCTATCATTTGTGTTCGTCAATTGTCATCTTTCCAGCACATTTCTGTTATCTGTAACGTAGAAGACTGCCCATAAGGATATGAATATCATTATTAATTATGTAATATCGTGCCATACTTTAATACATTTTTTACAGTTATTCTTATTTAGCGGTCCTTGTTTCTGTGATATGGTCAAATTCAGGCTAAAAAGTACATTTGAGAAAATGTGATCCCATATATAGAGCCAAATTAAAAGTGCATTATTTGGAAAAAAATAATTAGTGTAGGAACCATGTGAGCTCAGGCTAGTTCCTAATATGACTCTTCTTGCCTTGTTGTTACCCTATAACAGATGGATGTGCTGAATGGCTGCACACGAATGATACAAGCTTGGGGTGCAGGGACACTTAACCATGTGCATTTTTGGACACGTGTGACAGCAGATCATGATATACAATGTAGCTGAGCTGGCGCTATATAAACTCGTAGTCATAGACAAAGCATCTCTATAAGCAGCTCTGCCATCCATGCTCAGTTTATGGTTCATAAGGTGAATATATGTGATGTGGGCGATTGTGCAGTAAAGAGGCCTATCGCCTCCCATGCAGAACTGTGTAACCACTATGCTACCATGTAGGATAAGTGTCAGGTGAATACTAGCCTGTTAATGACAGCTAAAGAAGAATGATTTTAATTTGCAGGTTTGATTACTAGTATTCTGCACAGTATTTTGTGTTTTAATTGCTGTATTACAACAAGCACTGCTTTACTCAGATCTAAACTATTGCACAATGTGGAACAGGCATTTAGATAGGGTTAAAGCCTTCGAAGACCACAATAAATACATAATGACGCCAAGAATGGAAGCAAACCCACAAAACAAACAGAACACATACACTCCATCGCTCTAGGGCTTTGTTTTGGGATTAGGTGAAAGTACAATCATTAGATCAGCACAGAAACCTAGGAGGAGCCATAACTGTTCACTGATAGTTCTCCAGGGCAAGAAGAGCTAGCCAAGCCTAACAGCATTGCGTAATAACAGTGCTCGGCAAAAACATAATTACTGCAAGTAATGTTGGGAAAAAAAATCTCTCCATGGCATTGCAAATGTTCCTGAAATACTACAAAGGGTTTTCAAGGGGGATGTTAAAATGTCTTCAGGCAAGTTTGAAAATCCCATAGACAATTCTGAAATATTCATGTACTGACCCTATGCACCATTATATATCTGAATGATATTCTATTGATTACTATATGTAAGGGTTACATTTTTTGGAGGATTTAGAGGTCTTGCTAATGATTTAATTACAGCAATTTCTCTAATGTAAGCGTTAATGTACTAAATAGCATGACATATCAAAATCATTAAGAGGATCATGTTTCCAGAACACATACAATGCAGTCAGCTGAAGAAAACCTCCATTTCTATGTACGCATTTTAAATACAAATACAATGCAGCACAGGGTGCACAATAATGAGCAGAAAAATTAATATTCAATTAGCAAGGACAAGTTGGATATAGATAGCAAGATGCTTTACATACTGTATATGAACATTAAGACCAGTAACCTAATCAACATAAGTCTGTCCATGTGTTTGCACCAAGTTCAAGAGATTTTGTAGGCATTGGAGGAGGAGGGGGTTAAAAATGGGACATAATGGTGTGAGAAGGGGGTTAAATATGGGACATACCGGTAATGGGGTGGGGAGGGGATAAATGGTTTCATGGGGGTCCTGGGTGAAAGGTGATAGGGGCTCAAAACCTGATAGAGTAACAATGGATGGAATTTTAGAGTTCAAGAGCAAATCCTAAACAGAGAAAGTTGTCCATTCAGGGCTGCCTTATTTTAGTATATTATTATTATTATTATTATTATACAGTATTTATAAAGCGCCAATAGTTCGCTCAGCGCTGTACAACAAAGGGGGACAGAACATGTGACAGAACAATACCAATACAATGCAAAACATGAGGGGATCGAGGGGCCCTGCTCTTTCGAGCTTACAATCTAGGAGGGAGGGGATGGTGCCACAGGAGGAGATAGCTGTGGGGGATGGAGTGGTAGGAAGAGTGGAGGAGGTCGGCAAGTTAACAGGGGGCGGGGTAGGCTTCCCTGAAGAGATGGGTTTTCAGGGTGCGCCTAAAGGAGAGGAGAGTAGGTGATAATCTGATGGGTTGGGGCAGGGAGTTCCAGAGGATGGGTGACACCCTGGAGAAGTCCTGGAGGCGGGCATGGGAGGAGGAGACCAGGGAACTAGAGAGTTCTTGGATATTAGGTCAGTGATGTAGTTCGGGGCAGTATGGTGGACAGCTTTGTACGTCAGCGTTAGGATTTTGAATTTGATCCGTTGCGCAATCGGAAGCCAGTGGAGGGATTATGGCGGAAACGGACGGAGCGGTTGGTATATTTAGGAATGTGATCTTGCAGAGTAGCTTCAATTTTGCCATCAACTATGGCATGGGTGACCTGGTTCTTAGCTTCAATGAGGCCAAAGTTCAGTTTTTTTCTAGGCATTAGCCACGGTTCTGTTTTGCTGCAGTCGTGATTTGAAGGTGAAGTTTAAATTGGGCATTGGTGGTGTCTTGGGGGAGTTTATCAAGGAGAGCTATTATTGGGTTCAGGATGGTGGTCCTGTTAAGCACCTTGGCAATGATTCTGAAGATTTCCAATCAGAATTTACTAACTATTGGGCACATCCACCATACATGCAAGTAGACTCCCATTCCTGCAGTCCTGGAAGCATACAGAAGGATAATTTGGAATGGATTTAGAAATTCATGCAGGGAACAATTACCATCAGGAGAGGACTTTGTTCTATTTCTCAGGTTCTATGTTGACACCATCATAGGTTTCCACAAGCTAATATAAGATGCGGCAAAGTTTAGAAAGCATAAAAAGGAGTTGAGATAAGGCCTGGGGAGTGGGGGTCCCTATTGCACATCTTCTTGAACACAGTGAACTCGTCCAAAGACGAACGAAAGTGTTTACATAATGTTTGAAAGGACAGAATCCTGTTGGGACCTGTTAGGTGGTGCAATAAGGTTAGTTTTAGGTCTGACCAGGTTCAAAAAAGAGGCAAGGGAGGTATAGGCTGAATAAAATGAAGGGTTCTGTAAAAAAGAAAGCATTGGAGCATGTAGGGAGAGAAGTCCGAAGCATTGTTTAATACAGTCCCAAAGAATGAGGGAGTGTGATGGGATTTGAGAGAAATGTGTAATCCTTTAGTGCTATCCAAGGAAGGTTGGCGACTGTTAATGAGTCGGAATCTGCTGCTAGTAGA